CTCTCTCTTGCTGTGACTGATGACCGGGAGAGGCAGTGGCCTAGTCTCCCCCTGACCCCACCTACCATGACATTACTCTCCACGTTTCAGATCTGTCCGGGAACTATGTTGACTGTTTACCTGTGGGACCGAGTCACTTGCTTAGACTTTTATTTTATTTTATTTTTTTTAAACTTCTCAATTATTAATATTACTTACTGGAATAATTAATTATTTGTTTAAGTAAAAATATGTCATTTCCAATTGATTTTGTCTACTTTGTCTTCCTCGTCCCTTTCACACTCCATGTAAATAATACACGAACGCTGCTTCTTCATTCAATTATGTGATACGCAGAGTTTTGTTCAAAGTCCACAGATTTGATTTCCATATATTGAACCTTCAATAAACTAATAGCTTGATCCTAACATACGGCGATTAATTAATTAATTACTTATCAACTCATTAAATAACCCATTTCTTTTTTGTCACTTAGACCAAAGACTTATAAACAAGAGCTTAATTCTTTACCTGGGATTGGGAAGAAATGAAGGCGTATTTACGTTATTATATATCGTCAATGTAATATTTAAATTTCACCGCTGTCAAGTTGGTTTGAGTTCAGAATTGCAGTCAATAATATTAGTATGATTCGATAAAATAAAATAAAAAATGGAGCCGCATAAGTACGGGTGATTAGTATTGTACCTAATCCCTTTACTTTATGATGGTGTAGCGATTTTCAAAGAATTGTGACGTTGTTGTTGTGTTGCTTTAGTCCCCTTTAATGCTAGTTTTGAAAATGGGAGAGGTTTTTCTGCATCGTGTACCCAACAAAGAAAAAACAACGTTCGACCAGCTTCCTTTCGTTTACCTTGACTAATTGAGTTTTCTTTTGGAAAGAAACTTCAACATCCAACCTTTGAACCTCTCCTTTAGGCTTTTATATATTTTAGCATGGGAAAAGTGTAGTCGTCGTCTCCAGAGACTACAATTTGATATCAATCACCAAAACACTTTCCATGCACTTTCACTGTTCTCATCGATCATATTCATGCATTTTCTCTTTTATATATATATTATATATGGGCGGGAATCGGAAGAATCCAACAAGTCGTGCACAATTTCTCTTTAATTTCGCATGGGTAGGTTTGTGAAACTGGAGGGAGGAGACTCTGAACAAGTTTAAACATACGGCGCCCAAAGAAATAAATAAAAGAGAGGTAGTTGTGGTAACTTGGTAACTTGGTAGGTAGGCACATATATTACGTACATTGGCAGGTTTTAAACATGCTGTATTAGAATTTTGTACATCCATGTCCATGTCCATGTCCATGTCCATGTCCATGTCCATGTCCATCTAGTGAGAAAACAAGTCCAACAAAAATTATTGCGAGAAATCAAGTTTAAAATAATAATTAGAACCAAAATGCAAAGAAGATTAGATTGTGAATATTATAGAAAAAGATTTGATCATGGAAAAAGAGCTGGCATTTCCAAATGTCATGTCAATAGCCTTGTACATTAAACTAGCATATATATACACACTAATTAATTCATTGTTTCACACCGATCAATAAACAATATCAACATATATAGAAGAAAAAGACAGAGTTGACTCAGATTTCCGTAGACGGTGTGACACTTCCCACGTGGCTTACTTCATGACGTAGAAATTGGGTGTATGGTTAGGTTGGACAGCTAGGGTTTAAGAAAAAACTGAAAATCATCATCAGACTATGAAGAACCAACGACGGCACCGATCGAAACAATGTTGCTTTCACACAGTATTGATTGGTAACGAATATCTGAATTTCTTTTAGATGCTTCTTGCGCATGCGCATGCAACAACTCAACCTTGATATTTCTTTGACAAGTAATTTGTTTAGTCTTTTTTGTCAGCAACTTATTATTGGCCTGCCCTTCGCACTTGGGTTTAATTTTCTTTGTTTACTAACGCGGGTTCAGACAGATTTCTCTAAAATTTCAAACCCTGCTATGGCCGACAAATCTGTGACAATCACAGCTACATGTATATACTTTGAGATAATACAAACAAATTTGAATGATTAATTCTTAATTTATTTATTATACGGTGAATTCAGAAGAAAATCCATCCTGATTTTAGAGTCGTCACTTGTCAGCTCAGCATCACATGCATAAGAAATTGAAATTGAAATTGAAATTTCACCGAAAGGAAAATAAAAAACAAAAAACAAAAAGCTTCCCTGATTTGATGCTGGATGTCTATACCTGCACTGCATTAATTGATGATGCAAGTGACGTTATGAAACTTGTAGGAGAGAAACTCTTGTTGGGTTTTTCCTAATAAACTACGTTAACTTATTATAAGAGGTTGAGGTCAAGTTGATCGTGAAATTTTAACTTGGAAAGAGACTCGCCTCCTTTTGGCCTTGTGCTTGCCTTAAGTGATAAAATGCTTTGTTTTGGGCTGCCATTATTGGTCCAGAAATTATCTTATCAATACTACGAAAAAGACTCGCATACAAAGATAAAGCTTACACGAAAACAAGATTAAAAAATATCATTTATATTCAGTATCTAATTTGACCAGGAAAAAAGAAAAGAAAAGAAAAGAAAAGTGTGCTGTAGTAGTTCTGGAGGCTGGAGGAGGTGATGAATAATATATTAATATGGGTGGTGTGAATAGAAATTGGGCGGTCCTGCGGCCTGAACCCAAAATTCCAAAAGGAGCTGTGCTGGTTCTTCTACTTGTGCACGTTTGGACCTCCCTAATCAGGAAAAGATCGGGTGTACGTAGACTTGGGGTAGAAAATTGGGCAGATGACGGTGGACTGGGGCTACTTTTAAATAAATTTCTTCTCATCATCTTTTCTTATGATGATAAGAAAAGGAGGTGCCAATTGCCCAATCCCTATTCCCTTACCCTAAGAAAGAATTATATATTAATATATGCATTTCTTTTCGCTTTCACACCAATTTTCTGGTATTGGTCTTAAATTTCAGGACCTACTTTTTGACTCCATTCTTCTTCATTAATTCCTACTTCAAGACAAGACCTTGTGCGTGTACTCACTTAACTTATATGGATAAATCTTTTGCGTTAATTTCTACTCAACTTTTTAAGGCAAAGTTTCCGGAGAATTTCTTAGGCTAGAATAGATAGAATCTTTGGAGATGAAGCAATCTCAAACCATAACGATTTTGTATAGGAGATGAAGATGATGCATGCATGCTTTAATGGATACGCCATATCTTTACTAGTACATATTTCCACTGCTTTTCAATGCCATTACCGCTTGTCTGCCTAACACTTAGTCCACTCCACGATCCATTTTTTTATATCCAAGAGCGGAACTATGAATTTTTCAACTGATAGACTAGCTAAAGTTATTACCTTAAAATCTAATGAAATTTATTTTTTACTTCCAGTTTCTATAGTCTTTCTAGAAATAAAAGTATACATTAAATCATATAAATCACGCTAGTTTATAATTTCATTGATTAATTTTTAATACGTTTATTTTCTTTTTATACAAGCGCTATTTGTGGAGAGGGGAATCAGACCTAGGATCTCAAGTGCATGGCTAAATGCTAATTTCCAATAAGGTTTAACGTAAAACAAATACATACTAATGGAACCAAAAAGCACATCTTATAAAATGAAAAATATATTCGACAACATAATTGAAAGTGTGCCTATTTTAATGTGTATTTTTATTGATGTCTTGCAATTAAACTCATAAAAAATTAGACTTTTTTGGACTTGTAATAAGTTAATATATATTGGGCTATTTTAAAACAAGTCAAATATATATAGGTTTCATTTTTTTAATCCCCAAAACTCCCCCGGGCTACAGCCCACCTTAGTCATTACTCATTAAGGTAGTTCCTAGGCTACAGCCCAAAACTCCAATATTGCATGATTCATTTCCATCTACCAATTATTCTATTTAAGAAGCTTAGTTGTTTTCTGGGATTTTGCTCCGTATTCATAAAAAGAAAAAGGAAAAGGAATGAGCAAATTAAA